AGCAGAAGTTCTTTGCATTTGAAATTGAATTTTTTTTTTTTTTAAATGTTAGCAACAAGCATAATTTTTCCTACACACACACACACACACACACACACACACATTATACAATTCTTTTTTTTCTTAATCATTTCACCTCAAGCAAGGCAATAATGCCACAAGAAAATGTTAATGAGGAGAAAGAATAAAAGAACAGGATTCAGAAAGACAGAAGAACGTGATCAAATGTTTCTTCTTTATACCAATGTTCACCCTCTACAAAGCCTAAGAGCCACTGAAGGTCAAGGATTACTGTGTGGTGTTGTATGATTATAAGTAAAGGCAAGGAATGCAGATCATGTGGTTAAGCAGGAAAGATAAACCCGAGATTTGAAGAGGTCAAGAGTGTAGTGATTGGGTAAACATCCTGTCCAGGAATCTGTTCCACAAGGCAGCTGTTCTTGGGAAGAAGCTGTCTGAGTGGAACTTACTTCTTACTAAAAGAAAATTAGGATGCTTTATCCTTTTGTATGTGGTGTGGTGAGTCCCAGCTGCAAAGCTTAGAGCTGGTGGAACCAAGGAATGGAGCTCGTCAGAACACTTGCCATGGATATAACAGAGTAGTGAGATGCTTGTGATGTTTCATCTGGAGAATAATTCATTGCCCACAAGGCCATAAAGACAATTTTCAACTATCGCAGTGCAGACTAGGCAATGCCAGCCCAGCAATACTCCATACATTTTTGAAAATCATAGTTGCCAGTAAAGCAAGAAGTCAGAAGAGAGTTCCACAGGCAAGAAGTGCAAGAGAAGAAACTATTAGAAAACTTATGGTTATATCTCATTTTGTGCTGAGAGATATTAGATAAATAGTGGGTAAGTGAATGACAAGAATGGATAAAAATTCTTAGTGCTGAATTTTATTCTGAGAAGGAAGATTAATGGTTTAATGATGGAGTCTGTCATATAAAACAGAGTTTTTGTTTTCAGTTTTTTCCTCCTTTAATTTTTACTGCTAGTCTTTAATTATCCACAGTGTATCAGAAGTTTTGTGAAAGTTGATATATTGTATGACAGCAGACAAATTTACTATAGACAAATAACTTCATCTCTTAATAAATAAAAAAAACAAAACAAAAAAAAAAAAACTACATTATAAGGATGTATATAACAAGATTGGAAGGAATGAAAAAAATAACATATGAGCAAGGTGTGCTTAAAAGTTTAACAAATTTGATGATCTAACAATGTAGTACTGACTTTAACACTACCCTCAGTGAGGTAACATTTTCCACATTTAATGAAAACTAGATTATTTTTTTAGTGGGGGGGGAGTCATATTCCCTGAACTTTTGGGCAGTACTTCAAGAGAAAATAATGTATGCAAGTAGTTATCTACTAGGCTTAGTTTTAGTTTGACCACATGTATGGGACAACTAGTTACAAAGGAACTCACTACAAATTAACAGACTAACCTGTTGGCCATTTATGCTATCACAAGGTGCCCTAAAAGGCATGCAGGTAATAAGAGCTTCATAAAATATTGCATGCAACCAAGGTGAAGTAGAAAAATCTTTTCACTCCAACTCACATCTTCATAAAGCATGTCAATGTGAAAACATGCCAAAAGCGTTATGTACATGTAATATATATATATATAGTAACTAACACTAACTACTTTACACTACAAAACATGCTTTTTGTGTAACTGAAAAACTCAGCCAGTTTTTTTCCTGTTTACACTTTCTTTACAGTATATATTATGCAAACCACTATTTGAAATCAAGTTTACAATTTATATATAAAAAAATTTATATGAAAACAGAGAAATTGTATTTCAAATTGAAAATTTAAAAGCGAGTAAATTGAAATTAAAAAGAAAATCACATCTATTCTAACAAAATTAATTTCAAAAGAATATTAAATAATTATAATTTTAATCTGTTTTAACAATGACCGATAAAAAATTCCTTTATCAATTTTCCTTTAGTCAGATTTCTTTCGCCTTTACGTCTTACACCAGTGAGCAATGCATTTCTCCATCTTAACACTCTTAATTACAAGCAAGAACTTTGCCAATCATACTTCTACCCATGCACACTAAAAGTTTCTTACCAGTCACTGAACTTCAAATACCATTTGCAAGACATTGTGCTAAAATAGTAAACTTTGTTGATTAGTCATTTTTTTATTTTAAGAAAATTATTTTAGTCTTGCATTTAGAATACAAATACAATACACCCACTTTTTGCAATAGAATTCAGCATAAAGACAGTGTTAATTGATGTCAAAAAAAAAAAAAAAAAAAAAAAAAAAAATTTCTCAGTTCTTATTCTCCAAATTCCAGCTCCAGAAGAAAAGCATAGCTAAATCGTTAACAGTGGTTAAATACATAACCATAAATGGAATATTAGAGATAAAATATTCTAGATAATATGCAAAAGCAAACTCAAACAAAATGGCGAAAAAGATTTTTTTTATCTTTGTTTTAAGGCAAAATAATAAGCACTTACTTTTCTAAGTTAAAAGAAGTCATTTCTTTTTCTTTTATATTCAATTGTTTCTTTTCCCTTACGTTTTTTCTAAAATACAAACAAAAATGGATCGCTAAGCAAGCTGCCCCCCCTTTAACTATGTCTATAAAAAAAAAAAAGGATTTCAAAACATTTACTTCAACTTACATCCTACTTTGTTTTTAACGGTTTCATTTTTTTTTTTCCTCATGGTCAATTTTAGAAAAAAAAAAAAATGCATGAACTTTGTCTTCAGAAAATAACAAGGTTTTATTTAATTTTTTGTTAGGTTCACTAACATTTGTTTTTAAATTGAGTAATTAAAGATTGTGTTGTTCTATAGTGGAATGCTTAAGTGAAACAGAAGCTTAATGACCCCCCCCCACCTATCCTTGCGCTAATAGTGAAATTATGATGCAAGAGCTTCTGTCAGCATGATGTTATATTTTATTTTTCGATAAGGAAGAAAAAAAAGGTAAATTTGCTTTTTAAGCCCCGCGCTAAATACCTCTTAAATTTTCCCAAATTGTCTTATTTCCGTGTAAATGTACATGCTGAACTCGAATTGACAGTTATTATGATAGTAAAATTATGTAAAAGTAAAACTAAAACAAAAGATTGAGTATTGACGATGACACGGTTAATTTTTTTAGCATCACAAACTATCATTTTTTTATTTTTATTTTTTTTTTTTTAAGAAAAAAATAAATAACGTTTTAAATTTACTTTTAAGTTTCATAAAAAAAAAATCCATCGGTTGATTGTTTTGTTATTGTAAATGTAATGAATGTAAATTAATTTGAGATTTTAAGTGACGGTAAGAAGTGCTTGTATTTTTTTTAATGTAAACGCAAAAAGGACGGAGTGAAATATCAACAGCTAAAGAAGCTCAAACGATACGTTCAGTAACAAAACAATTACTTTGGTACAATAAAATGGGAAAAATAAACAAAAATGTTTTTATATTTTACTTTTCTTTTTTTTTTTTTTGTCAATTCATTTTTTTTTTAAAGTGGTTTAGCAGTGAACTTGTTCAACTGGAATAGTCATTCTGAGGGAAAAAATTGCTTTAGAGAAAAAAAAAGTGTGTGTGTGGGAGAAAAGAAAAGTTCAAAAGACAGGAAGATTTTTTTTTTTTTTTAAATTAAATATTTTCAGTCGAGTTTGCTGTTTGACCTTGACTTTCTTTGTAGAAATCGAACTGGTTGACAATCATTTAAAAAAAAAAAAAAAAAAAGGTTACTGTTATTACTCATATACTGTTCGTAAAAGAAACACGCCTAGAAGACTCGTTAAATGAAATTGAAATACCATCTTCAATTGTTTGGAACCGTATTAAGTGGGGGGAAAAAGCGAAAGAGAAACTAGAGAATAAAAAAAAAAAAAAAAATCAGCAAGAAAGAAGCTCAACTAAGGGAGAAACATCGCTCCCACTTGTCTTTCTTTCATTGTCAGGTAGATTAACAGACACGTTTTTGTGTATTAAAGTCGGAAGATATTACTAATACTTTTTGTTTGACAATCTGTCTAGGCACAGTGACAAAGTCATAATTTATTGGATAACACGTGGTTTGTTTGTTTTTTTATTATATCATATGATTTATTGTCGCTTGATTTCTTGATAATTTTTATTTTAATTGTAATGTAAAAATAATTTATTTAAGTGCATATAATCGAAATTACGAAAAATAAATTAAAGGGAGAATCAAACAAAACCAAATATAGCAGAGAAAATTAGATACAAGAACACACAGGAAACTAAGCAAAGTTAAGATTTTTCTTTTATGACACGTTCGTATGGGTCATTTCTTTAAGATGCTTTCGGTTCCTAATTAAAAAATTGAAAACCAAGATGAGGAAGGGACTAAGTTACTCACACGTTTTTCTTACACCGCCAAATACTTTTACAAAACAAGTCATATTTTTCAGCTGATTTCTTGAAAAGTTCTCATTGCTCACAAACCTGAAAGAGTCGGAAGCTTACAAAGCGAAATGAATCCAGGAAGTCGTAAACTAAACATTTTTAATTTTATCAAATTCAATTTTTTTTTAATCTTCTAAATGTCATAATCTTCTATCAAACAAAATGTGAAAGAAAGCAACAACAAAAAGTTTCCTACGTGTCATTTCCAAAGGGTCAGGTTGTTCTTTACTCCAGTTCTTAAAATAATTTTCCCTCAATACTAATAATAATTTTCAGTGAAGCGTAGTCGCAATATGAGATTAAAAAAAAAAAAAAGTTTAATCACTCTCTTAAATTATGCATTCATAAAAACAAACCACGGACAACTCTAGAAACTCACTCAAAAAAAAAATAAAATAAAATAAAAAAGCCTTAGTAAACAAAATAAAATTGCTTGCGACGAAAACGAAGAACCTGGCCTTTTTTTCCGTATCCTTATTTTTTAACCAACACTGAAATAAATAAATAAAAAAAATAACAGCAAATCTAGTTAAAAAAAAAAAAAAAATCTATCACCGGTAGATTTTACAAATAATTTAAATTACCTAAGTAGCGAACAAATGTGTCTCTGTAAATATCCACTTCGGCCGGCTTTTCAGGAGGAACCGGACTCTGGTCTGTTTTTTTGGAATCCATGTCGGTTTCGTCAGCGTTCTGCCCCAGAAGAAAGTTTCTGAAGTCTTATTATTCTCTTTTATTACTCTTCATTAACGAAAGCTACCTAGCCATGTGCACATTGTTTGATTTTTGAAGACACCCTCACTGGGAGGGGCGAAATCACGTGATACCTCTGCAAGGAGCTGAGGCGAATAACAGCTCTCTGTAGGCGGGGATATAAAAAAAATACAAAAAGCATTTTCTTTTTTAAATTTTCTTTCCCAGCTATTATTTTTTTTTTTTTAATAGTTAGTCTTAAGGTTTATATACATATTATTTTTGTGTGTGTTTAGATTGTAGTGCGTAACATCAAAACAAGAATAAAAGTGCACGCCTCCTTAAAAATGACCAATCAAGAGATTTGAACACTACTGATTGCTTATTATTTAAAAATCCCTACTAAAAAGTACAAGTAGAAAACTCAGCTTATAACCATCATTATATGAACTTACTTATTTTTCTTAATAAGTCATTTCTTCATTATCATTTTTTCTGAATATCAACTTTTAAATCCCCCAATCAACATTTTTTTAAGATTTAAGTTGTTGAATGAAACATAAAAAAACATAATAGAAGGAATCTACAAGAATTTGCCCTGATTTTTTTATATACTACTCTTCACCCAATACAAGGCCCAAGAGCCACTCATAATAGAGTTTTACCTTGTAGTATTGTATGAGTGTAAAAAAAAAACAAGAAATGGAGTTCATGAGGTTATTATACAGGAAAGGTAATGGCTAACCCTAGACTCAAAAAAGTTAAGATTGTAGTGTGTTACAGGGTGGTGTATGTGTTGATAGATAAACATGTGTATCTCCTGAAATTCCCACAACAAATATATCAGACTTGGGATGCGAGTCCACATAAATAAATGTAAAGAAATGACAAGAACCAATATATATGTACAAACAAATGATAATGTATTAACAATAATGGGTTACAAGTGACAAAGATGTGTGTGTGTGTGTCAAATGAATGTGAAAACTTTTTGCTCTAAAGTATGTGTAGTGAGTGAATGTGCATATGTGTGTGTGTGTGTGTGTGTGTGTGTGTGTGTGTGTGTGTGTGCATTGTCTGTGCCTTTCCCAAACAAAGGGAACGCGTTCTCTGCAAGAGACTTACATGTTGACATGTAAATGGAAAAAGTAAGATGGTATTTATCAATTCACCCACAGGAATTGAATGCGGCACAAGGCCTTTTTAATGTGGGTATGTCTGAGCCCGTAGGCCCAGCCAAAAATAAAACCCATCTAAACCCGTCCAAAAGCGGGCTAGTTCAAATCAACCTCCCGAGCGAAACCCCCACCCTTCGGCGGAGCTTCGTCCGGGTTCCTCTCTGCAAGCAGAGAGTTCGACAGACACCCGACCCGGCAGCTCACAAAGCGCAGATACTACACTTTGATCCTAATGAGAGTGATAAAATTATCACCGAGTATTTATAGACCTGAGAGTGTCTCCTAGTAGCCGTTTCAAAAATTAGAAGGTGGTAACCCAACAAATGACTGAGAAAATATCCTGTCAGGAATCTGTTCCAGAAAGCAGCAGTTCTTGGGAAGAAGTTGTCTAAATGGAACTCACTTCTTCCTAATGAAATATGAAGGGAATGAAGATGATTTATCCTTGTGTATGTGGCATGGTGGGTCCCAGTTGCAAAGGTCCAGTTTGGTAGGACTGAGGAATGTAGCTCAGCAGAACACATGCCATGGAAGTAGTGACAGAGTAGTGAGAGGCTCACAATAATTCATCTGTGAGGAAAGGGGTTGTAGGGTGGAAAATATTGTATAGTTTCTTTTTCATACCCAAACATGGGTTAAATAGGACAAACTGGGCTCTTCAGGATTACTCTGAACTCAAAATGGTATGCAGCCCAGGTGAAACTAATACAATGTAGGTAATAAAAGTATCGCATGATTGGCTTTGATTGAGTGACATGTTTTCATAAAATGCAAAATGAGATTTTTTTTAACTAAATTTGAAACAAGAAGACAGTATATTGTAAAGATTGAATTTACTATCAATGGCTTGTCCAACCAGCTTCAGCACTCATGAGATAAATTCAAAAACATGTATCATGAAATAAATTTCAAAAACAAAATGATTTCAGAATTTTATGGCCTATTTTTTAAATTTTTAAATTTAGTTCTTACACACAGGCCTTTCAAATATATAGCGATAAAATAGAAAATAAATATAAAGAGAGCCCCAGCAATTACTAAGCTTATCATACAAGTTTAATGCATTTTCACATAAACATCAGGTAATCAGCAACTATTTGTTTTTTTTTTTAATGGGCATTTTTATTCTCCCATCAGCTAGTGCAAGATGTTGCAACAATATGCACACACCAACTAAGTTCATCAAGAGGGAAAAAATCCATTCAGCCAAAATGGAAATGCCAAAGAATCCCCATTACTTTGGGGGTCAAACATTAAAAACGCATCAAAAGTGTGCTCAATAACATAGCAAACAGTAGGGCCTCAGTAAAGGAGCATAACACTAAAAACAAAATAGTGCTCTAAAAATACTGGGTCCTCAAAGTCTCCTATATCATAGCACACACACACACACACACACTATATATATATATATATATATATATATATATATATCACTTTAAACATTATTTTTAGTGGATACTCATATTTGAGTAGATGTAGATGCTCCATTTATTAAACAGTATGTTTATTTATTTTCATCTACCGACTTTAATATCTGAGAAATCTTAAAGAAAAAATGTGCTTTCCTATATATATATATATATATATATATATATATATATATATACAATGAATACAGGCAACTTTAAGGGTCCATTGGTTATAATTTATTTCGCCAAGGAATTTCTTTTTCCCTGATTCATCAGACCATACTTCCAAGGGTGAAAAAATGAATTTAAATTTACATTTAGTTTTTTATACACTGAAGGAAGGGTAGTTTTAAGTTGATATAAGATAATAATGTAAGGTGATATAGAGTGGGGAGAGAGAGTGTGACATATATATATATATATATATATATATATATATATATATATCATACTTATTATAAAACCCAGGTTGTGTGTGTGTGTGTGTCTGTTCGTTTATATATTGGATCGGAATTCCTACATTTTTCAACTGATTTCAACAAAACTTCACAGGACTACGTAAAATTACCTTGCGGTGATTCTGACAGTGCCAAAAATTGGAAAAACACAATTGCTTTTGCATGAAATCAATTTGAAAACACAATTAAGAGGCATGAGAATGAAAGGGGGACAACTCATATCGAGTTATACTTATTATAAAACCCAAGTTGTGTGTGTGTGTGTGTGTGCGTGTGTGTGTGTGTGTTCATTTATATATGGGATCGGATTTCCAACTTTTTTCAACCAATTTCAACAAAACTTCACTTTTTTTGGCAGGTAGTGTTTCTTATTGTCTTGCACACTTTTTTCTTTATTTTTACATTAAGAATGCTTTAAAAATTCCATTTACAAGACAATTGTTTATAATAAAATTCTATTCAATTGGTAGACTCATAACGATTGAAAACAATGTTTTTGTTTGAGTTTGACCAATTCGTAAAAAAACAAAAAAAAAACTAATTAAGACATGCATGTCCGTCAACCTTAAACAATAATCTTTGTCAATTTTATTTTTCAGTCTTTATGATGGTTGATACTTGATCTATCTCTTACTGTTACATCCCTGGGCAACGCCTGGCTCTACTGCTAGTATATATATATATATATATATATATATATATATATATATATATATATATATATATACAGCTGTTTCAAAATTTACAGTTATGTTTTTTGCACAATGTCAGGGAAATCTTAGAAGTGTTTTTAAAGTTTACCAAGGTCTTTATTGCTTGTACATGTATACACTTTATTGTTTGCAGAAAATATATATATTTGGTGAAAGTCTCATTTGAAAGCTCATCGGATTTATAGAATTAGAAAATTAAATAATATAGATAGTCTTGATAAAAGTTAAAACTATCTATACTATACTACCTATTAACTCAATAATGACTACAATTGAAAAGAATTTAATACCCTCAATAAATAATTACAAGAATAAATAATAGCAAAATCCTATGATAAATAAAATTAAAGAAAAAAAAACATTAAATTAACCAACTCTCAGTTTCAACATTTGTCTCAAAATTGAACAAGTATTGGACTATTTAAAAAACAAGTGATAATGCTAGTGTTACTAGTATGTCTAGTTAGTACATTTTTATTTGTTGTACACTTCAGTTGTGACTGAATTACCAGAGCAGTCTAATAGATTGATATGTAAGCAAATAGTATGCCTTACTTTAGTTACTGAAATGTGTGTCTACTTGGTGGTACTTGCAGGTATAGCTCAAGAGATAGCAGAGATGGGTGAAAGTATGAATCCCAAAATCAACTATAAATAAATAAATATTTTTATATATTACAAAAAAAAAATAGCATTTTACATATGTTTATACATGTGTATGCTTACATTTGTATTAATTTATTTACCTACATATTTTTCTTTTTATGAGGAGGTGCTGAAAAGTCTTTGACCCAACCAAGAAACACTTTCCTCGCCAAAGTTTTTATGTCAATTGGTCAAGTTTTGGGAAGTGGATGAGAACAAAAAGTTTTCAGCAACCCCTTTTCATACTCACATTTATTTTTGTTTGTATGCATCAAATTTGGTTTCTGCTGTTCATAAACAGTTGCCAAAAATATGAAACTGACATAAAAATTTATTTTATTTATTTATTTATTTATTTCACCTTTAATGACCTTTTTATTTCTTACCTGAAGATGATTACATTTAAAAGACAACCTCAGACATTTCCTTCCCTTTGAATTTGATATAAAGCCAGCTAGCACATTCGAATCTGCATTCATTTTGCATTCTTGGCAACAAGATATAAGTAATTGCATAATCTATATAACAATGTATATCTGTGTCATTTACATTCACTGGTTTAGTATATTAGATATG